GCGCTTCTACTATTTCTAATATCCAAGCATGATCAGGTCTGGTTTGTTTAAGTTTGGTTTGGTTTGAGACTGAAATAAGTCTAAGTATAAACATCTCAAGTAATATGATGATTATGCATTTATACGAATTGCATTTTTTACACGAATTGCGGGGGTAAATTGGCAAATCAGGGGGTGTGCAAATATGTGTAAGTGTGTTATGACATTATTAAACAATACTCAAATATGATAATTCTTCAATTGGTCCTTAACCAGCTCTATTCGATCCTAGACCGAATCCGATCTAACGAAAGCAGACTCGAACTAAATGTAAATGAATTTTTTTCGATCTCAGATTTTTGATATCATCGAAAAACCATTAGAGACCGGACAGGTCCCATCCTTAACGCCATCATCCAGAACCCAGACCAATAATGATATTATGTCAAATGTATTACTGATTGAGGTTAATTACAATTAAAATGCATTTTAAAATTTTGTACGGAGTAGTTAACAAAAATTGGTAAAAGTACATGAGAGTTTAAGCTATACATTCAAGACTAAACGTTAAAAAGCCCATTACACAAATATAACCCCAAAAAGTCACACCCCCTCATTTAAAAGATCACCACATTAAGTTTTGACACAATATCTAATGAGAAAATAATAAGGGTGATGCATAGTGTAAATTAAGTAGGAGAGAATCTGGAAAAGTAGAAAATAAAAAATAGAAAAACTAAGGGTAACTTAGTATTTTTAAAGAAAAAACTTTAAAAACTTTTAAATACATATTAAATAAGAAATTGTAGCAAACTTTAAAATACAGATGAAATATAATTTTTCAAATGCACAAAAAAATAAATTACACACCTTATTTAAAAAGAACAAATAGACAAAATGGCATTAAAATAAATTTGTTTTTCTTGAAAGGCATTAAAATAATTATTTTTGCAAGGGCATTAAAATAGATTATTATAAAAATCACACCCCCACATTTATGAAAGAGTAATAAACATGTTTAGCAGCCACCATAAAAACAACTAATATCACCCAATGTTATTATATTTGTAGTATTGTGCTGAAGATCACATTTGAATGCTGGCCCATAATATTAAAGCCCAATAGAGGATATAATGAAAGTTTTAGGCCTAGAGCACAAAATTACAATCGACCGCCACCCCCCATTATTATTCAATTAATACAGAGGGAACATATTGCTATATTTGATCGACCGCCTCTCTGTACTCCGCTCAGCCACAGCATTCACGGTCCATCTCCTTCCTCATTGAAATTATACGTTCTATTTCACATATTTGCAGCATGGTGGCTAATTTTCTTCATCGCACACGGCTAATATATAATTCAACCAACGCCCAGAACATAAACCCATTCTCGAGGTTGACAGGGAGAATCGAAGCTCAACCCGCCCCTTTTAGAGACAATATTACAGTTCATATGCTAACCTGTGCGATGCGCGGTTGAAATTTTTTATTGAGTGTATTTAATTTTAGTTAAATTTGAAATACAAAAAATGAAGTGTTAAGGAATGCTTTTGTCTTGCACTAACCCCTATCAAAGTCTTTCCTTCTAATAAAATTTTGTGCTAGAAATTCACCTGCGTGATGAACAATTTTTTTTTCCCATTTTATAAGGTTTATATATACTAATTGGAAGCAAATTATTTATAATAAATTATTAAATCTTTTGTAATAGATTATTAAATACGGATTAGTATACAACATAAGCTTGGAGTGGACTTAAAGCCTAGTCCCAATTTAAAATAAAGAATGGGCCAGCTGCGGCCAAGAACAAAATGAAAAAAGCCAAAGAATACTGGTCCATCATCATTCTAGTTGTTCGAGAGAGAGAAGGGGAGAGGGTTGAGAGCTGTGTGTCGAAGATTCGCGATCCAACGCTTCTGTCCGTCCTTGCTCGCCGATCTCTACAACTTGTCTGATTTGGAGGTTTCCTTTGCTGCGCATTCATGAAGTTGTTCGCTGAGGTGGTTCGCGTTTGGGACTTCGGGTCGCAGGTATTGTTTTGGTTCTTTGAGGCCTCAGATTATGTAAAGGTGACTCCGTGTGAGTTTAATTTGTGTTGTGTTCTCGCATTTCCATGTTTTGTTGAGTGTTCGATGTTGCTTGTAGGTTCATCACTGGACCGGGTTTTGCATAACTGTTGATGATTGAGGGATCTCCAACAGGAGTTCTGTCTGAGCAGATCGTTGGTTGACCACCTGATTTGTGGACGCTTGAAGCTAAGCCTACTTTCTGTGATTTCTTTCCGTGTAATTTGATTTTGATTTCCGACATCTTCGTGTAGGTCTGCATTGAACTGCACAATTTGTTTTTTTCATTACTGAAACACCATTTCTTTCAAGTAGAGTTATTCATTGCATAAATTGTTTTTTTCATTGAACTGCGTGTAGGGAAAAAACACCATTGTTTTTTTCACTGCATCAGTTCTTTCAAGAGCTCTCAAAAACACTTTTCATAGTTCTGCATTTCAAACTAAGCATATCTTGAAGTATTATCCTTAATCTAAAACTTATAAATTATTCCTTGAATCTTTTTATTTTGACTCATAAATTATTTCTCAAATCTAAACACCAATCGAATACAAAATACATTGGTTAAGGGAATATATACCTCAAGTGCTGGCCAAAATAAATACAGTCTTCCACACAACACCCAATATTTGGATGAACTACTACTCTGAAGCAAAAACTTAGAGATAATTTAACTATTTAAGAATTCATGGGAAAATGACACACCTTTCCAATCGTGTTTGCTAGGCATTTCATTAAGTTAATGCAATTTTAGTGTTTTTACATACTTCATTAATTAATTTATTAATGAAATAGGGTATTTGTACTGATTCTTGTGCTTACAAATATCCATAAATATACTTGACATTTTAATATCCAAAACTAACCTACTTGACATCACACACACATTATTGATATAACTATACAGAGTACGTAGAAAAAAAAAAGATTAGTGCAAACGCTTTTTAAGAGGCATGATTACATCTAATTATCAATTCTTGAAGTCCAAAATGGTAGAAACACTAATTTGATTAGAACTCCATATGCCATGTTTCCAGCAACATATGAGCTCTACCCGTTAGTCTGTTACTGAAAGGGCCGGGAACCATTATATGATATGGAGGAGTTTTAATATATAAACATTAAAGAACTTTTGCACAAATTTTCCCATAGTAAACAAAGAACTTCCTGGAGTATCACTTTAGTATTACTGAAAGTATATACGAAGTATATTACATACACCATGGTTGCATCATATATCTATTCACATATGTACTTACGCAGGGATTGTGCATCTATATGATATCTTTGATGAAACTTGTATTGAAGACTTGTTTCAAGAAATCTGTAGTCTTAAATTATACAATAAGTGTTAGATGCATTTAATCATAAACAAAAACACGATTTAACTATAAACTCTATTGAGATAGAACTAATTTTTTATTTATCAACAATACACACACTAACCATTGTTAATGCATCCACAACATATGCATTTCTTTTCTATAAATGTACACATACTTATGTTTTTGTATGTTTCATGATACACACATAAACATATATTGGCATAATATTCTTGCTATTTGCAGATTTGAAACTTAAAAAGCTGGACAGGAAAGAGAAAGGGAAGAAGCAGAATGATCTATCGTGGTCCAAGTGAACCTGACGCTGCTTTTATAGATGTAAATGGGCATACACTGGAAATGACCCACACTCATGATCGTTTTTTAGGAAACTCTCACAAAAATATCTTTGAATAGAATGCTGGGAATGAGATACATTGAATCTCACCATTGTGTACACCACCCAAATCCACCAATGGGAGTAAATCTAGATAAGCATAGACTTGATTTAATTGGCAGCATGTCATTTCAACTCTGCCCACCTCTTCTTTAGGCCAATAGAAATTGCTCATCACAAAAGTTGCTGACTCGACCAAACTAATGCGTTTAACAAAAATTTACTTTTTATTTTATTCTGATATAACCCAATAGCTCCAACAGTGCTCACCTCACATCTCAACCAATAGGAACTGTCTAATATCCTTGAACCAAATTTATTTTTTATTTATTTTGACAAATAACCAAATAATTTTTTGATGTTGATGTTTCTCAGCGGGAAGCCTGTTCATAGAATTCTTTTGCTTTTAGATTAAGGTAGATATGTGACAATTTAAGAGTAAGAATTTAAAGTGGTTTAGTTTATGTTTGGCATGCATAAGTCTCTGCCATCTAACTTTTGTAGTGTTCAAAAAGTCTCTAAAAGCTTCTAGTTGTATGTTTGGCATAACAATTTTTAAGAGCTTCTCAAAAAATTAAAAGATCTTTTTTGAGATACTACGTGGAGTAGCATCTGATAAAAGTTCGTGACTTTTAGTACTAATTAGTCATAACAGCTTGTATGTCAAACCGAACTAAATCAAACAGTCAGCTTTTACAAAACAGCTACCACCTTTTCTTTTTAAGATTTTTTAGTCACTAAAAGCTAATACGGAGTAGTTATTAAAAAGCTCACTAAAGTATCTTTTCAACTAATTGTGCCAAACATACCCTTAGTGTTCCGAAATCATACTTAAAATGACTCTGATAACATATTAAAACTAGAAATTCTATAAAAGTCAAGGTATTGCGCAGCTCAAAATTTTACATTTGGTTTGTATTTTCATAAGTGATTAGGATAACTTAATAGTGATAAATCATAAGTATCTCCTTTCTCTTTTTATTCCTTTATGCGCTTAAAATATTAAAAGTGCATGGTACTTTATCTATGTTTTACTTATACAAATATTTTTGTATATCTATATTACTCAGTTATTTTGCAATATTGTCAATGTGCAGAGAATTTCCAATTGGAAGTGGAAAAGTTTTGCAATTCTTATACAGTAGCAAGCAGCTGAAGAGCACCAAGAGTGGGTTACCAGCTGCCCCAATATCAGCTCATGTGGTCAATAACCCACAGTACAGCCAAATGTTACAGGGAATGAAGGCTCCCAGTTGCAGCCCTAGTGAGGTGATCTACAGCCCTGATTTTCGCCAGTCATTATACTGTCACCTTCTTTGTGGTCTCGTTTTTCGTGACCAAATCCATTTCATAACCTCCGTCTTCGCACACGGCATTGTTCTTGCCTTTCGAACCCTCGAACAAGTGTGGGAGGAGCTGTGCACCGACATTCGGGAAGGCGTTCTTTCGAGCCGTGTCACGATCCCCTCCGTTCGGGATGCCATGTCATCGAAGGTCCTCGTCGTGCCCGACCCTGAGTTGGCAGGCACGATCTGTGAGAATTGCAAGGCACTGATGGAGAATGGGTGGTATGGACTGATCCTGGAGCTGTTTCCAAATGCAAAGTATATTAGTTCAATCTTCACAGGGACCATGCAACCTTATGTGAAGAAGTTGAGGCATTATGGAGGGAATATGTTGCCTTTGATGAGCTCAGATTATGGGGCTTCTGAAGGGTGGGTTGGGTTTAATGTGAACCCTAATGGTCCACCAGAGGCTGCTTCCTTTGCCGTGGCCCCAAATGTAGGGTACTTTGAATTTATTCCTTTGAGGAATGGTTTGGAGTTGGAACCTGTTGGTTTGACCCAAGTCAAAGTTGGGGAGGAGTATGAAATTGTTCTCACAAATGGCACAGGTACACCTTAAATGATTTTACTAACTATTTAATTAAGAGTTTTTGGTTTATGAAATTGATCGAATCCATTTTATACTATTAATTCATCTGATAGTCGTTTGATATAATATGATCCAATAAGTCATATTTTGAGAATAAAACATAAATACTACTTCTTGTGCATTTCGTCAATGTTTTAGTCATATTTGAGCATCTACCTTAAAATTATACTATGTGGTATATGAACTAAATATCATGAAATAAATTGCTATAAACCAATAAGATAAGAGTAATTCACAAGAAAGTGTTTCAATAAGAGCAGCGCATTCTTATCATCCTTATTCCATGCTAGAAGTATGATTTATTTAGTCAAAACGTCCTTGAAGAAGTGCTGTTTTGATATGATGAGCAAAAACAATGTATTATTTGGTGGAGGAAATTAAATCCGTTATACTACGTGTTTTGGAGTACTTTTTTTTTGGAGTACTTCAATTTTGGACACTTTCTATTTATTTCTTAGACAAGATTTCTAAATAGTACCAAAGTATAACAGAGTTTAATTTATCAAACAAGAGTATATGTCAGTCATTATTTTCAAAATAGGACTATTTCACTCCTAAAAGAAAAAAACTTCGTTTTTTATTTTATTTTTTCATCAGTCCTGTTTTTGGAAAGAAAGCATATATAATCCTACTTTAGAATGTTGTTAATGTTTCACTCATATTTTGAGGAACTATTAAAAGTCTTAATTATCTATTCACATTTTACTCCTACTATAGGTAATATCAGTGGCGGACCTAGAGGTTTGTGAGAGTGGGGGCACACTAGACACTAAAGTTAGTCTATAATAATAACTCCAAATGTAATAAAAATGGTAAAAAAATGTACGCAGTATTAAATTATACAGAATAGTTACTTACATATTAAATATTTCAGTGCTGCAACTTTGGTAAATCAAGCCCACGAATTTTCATATTCTAAAAATGTTGCATAATAGTTTCATTATCGATGCTTCTAAAAACATCTCTCTCGATGTAGCACACCAAGCAATTCGTAAGATAGTCATCTCCCATCATATTGCGAAGATCTGTCTTGATTATCAACAATTTTAATTTTTAAAATAATCCCCCAACTAAAAAGCAGGTGTCGTCAATGCAGAATAAATTGAAAATAAACTTACAAAACAAGGAAATATGGGAGGATTGAGCGGTGTAGGCGTGCGGCGGTGCAACATCAATTCAGCTAGACAGCGAAGTCCCCAGAGGCCAAAGCCAAGGCAGCGACATCCCCTAAAGTCGTAATTCGTAAACCGTCCGCGTGATTTTTATCATTCTAGTCTTCCAAATGTTAGTGGGTTTTTAGACTTTTATCACTCCGTAGTTTTAGTTGCCCGCACATTAGCTACTCTTTTGCATTTTAACTTTTTTTTGTTATTGTTTTCAATTCTTAATTATTTTTTTGTTTTTTGATAATTCTATATCTTTTATTTTAATTCAGCTAAAATTTAAATGTTTTGTATTAATTTTTTATTTATATAACCGTAACATTTTAGTATCTTAATTATCAAATACTGGTATGAAGCCGAGGCACCCGTTTTTATCCTAAGTACTACTACTGAAATTCCGGGCTCGAAGCGGGGGCACGTGCCCCACCTAGCCCCCCCCTAGGTCCTCCACTGGGTAATATCTTTTTTATTACTTCTTCCACCGTACAAATTAAAGATCATCATGCTTGACCTTTTTATCAACAATTATATGTACAAACAATGTTTGTGGTAAAAAAACTCTCATAAAAGTATAGATTTTATAAAATTGACCGAAGCATACATTCAAGGCATACTAGGCTCCAATCCATCCCAGATTTGTACCAACCCAACCTATTATACTCTCTTGGTTACCCGAATGCAAACATTGACCAAAATTTCAGACCAAATGTAAGGGAAAGAGTGTATATAATATACGAAGTATGTACTATAAGTACATGATGCATTGTCTAATCCTATTGCAAATGTGCATGCATGCAGGAATGTATCGCTATCGGCTGGGAGATATAGTGAGGGTGAAAGGCTTCCATAACTGCACCCCACTGCTCCAATTCATTGGCAGGAAAAGTCTTATCCTCAGTATCGACATTGACAAGAACACAGAGGAAGATCTCATACTCTCTGTGGAAACAGCTGCAAAAATCTTAAGCAGCAACCCATCATCCAAGATTGAACTACTTGACTTCACAAGCCATGTCAACACATCATCATATCCAGGCCATTACATTATCATCTGGGAATTGAGTGGGGAGGCAATTGATCATCAAGCTCTACAAGAATGCTGCAACTGCTTGGACCTTTCTTTTGCAGATGCTGGGTATATTGTCTCTAGAAGGGTCAAGACCATTGGTCCGCTGGAGCTTCGGGTGGTGAGGAAAGGGACATTCAACAAGGTTCTGAATCACTTTGTCGGTCTGGGAGCTACTCCAAACCAGTTCAAGGCTCCAAAGTATATCCCAGAAACTAACGAGGCAGTTATTGGGATATTAAGAGACAATGTGGCTATGGCTTTCTTTAGTACCGCATATCCCTGAAGTTGTAATAGCTAGCTTAGTGTTCATGCTTGGCTCAAAATAAAACATAAAACATGGGAGTACTTCCTTTTTTGTGGGACATAAGTTTTAAAGTTACTATTCCTATAGTCAATGGAGCATAATTTATTCTTAATACTTGGCATGCACTATGATAGTTGATCATTTATAATGTTGATTCATCTTTGAAGATATCTAAACTAGTACTGATAATTTATATTTATGTAATCATAAACGAAAATAATATTAATGTTCAATGAAATTGCGAAAACTGAATTTGAACGCATGATATAAAACAACATACTAAAAGAAAGCTAAACTGAACACACAGAACGCATGAAATTGCGAAAACTGAATTTGAACTCTCTAGATTTTCAAAAGAATTGCAGAAAGATTAACAAGAAAATAGATGAATCACTTTATTGAGGAAGATGATCGATTACAGAAGAAGAATAGAAATTTCTGGCCGAAGCCCCCAATGAGCCGAACCCCCCCAAAAGAAAGAGATAACTCTCGATCTTCCCAAGTCCAAAAGACAAAGTCCATAAACAGCCTCCTATTCTCCCTCTACCACTATTTATACTAACTCTAACATTATTTCGAATACAATCAAAGCAAAAAGGGTTATTTAATCTATTAAAGCGTAGTATTAAAAAAAGTTACATATGTTCACAAGGCAGCTTATTGGACACATAAGTAACTATCCATAGCTTCGTCATATTCCTAATTCATCTCCTTCTACTCATTTTTTAAAATAATAATTAAAAGAACAGATGTTTAGCTCTGTTTGTTCTACTCGAAATCACATGGGTAAAAAGGATTTATAGTCTTCCTACCCCATCTTCGTATGCTTCTTCTCCTCAAACCCACCCATTGTTTATCCAAATTACCAGTAAGTAACTATTAATAAGTTAAAGTAGTCTGAATAAACCACTTAACTAAATTTATCAAAAAAACAAAGTTGTTTTGTTAAAAAGATTCCTTTGAACCCCCAAACACAAGGTTGTAGGTAGTCTTGGACCCGGTTCGGGCCGCCCGGCCCGTGGACCGGACCGGCCCGCTACTGTGCGGGACCGGGACCGGCCCTGTTCTCGGGTCCGGGTCCGGGTCGGGCCTAGGCCCGGTGGGAGGCGGGTCCGGGCTCGGGCCTTGTATTTGGCGAACCGGCCCGGCCGGGTCGGGCCTAATTGATTTTTTTTTTCATTTTTTGGGGTTCCACCCGGGTTGGGCTTGATGGTTAGGAGGGGTTTGGGGGGTTAGGAAAGCACACAAAAAAAAAATTAACCAAACCAGAGGCCCGGCCCGGACCCGGACCGGACCCGGTGGCTACCCGGGCCGGTCCCGGGCCTTCCTTCCCAAAAAAAAGCCCGGCCGGGCCCGGCCCGGGTCCATGACTAGCTGTAGGATATAGTTTTCTACAATCCTAACAAGCATATACGACTCAATCAATCAAGTTTGCAGCATGTACAAAAGCCTAGTAAACAACAACTAATTGAAGTCACAATACGATAGTTTTTACAGCCCCCGGGGCTCACTATTGTTGGCCGAAAATGAACTAAATGACGTAAAAGTTGAGTACAATAATCCCAAAAGCAAATCTTGTTAACAAAACAGGGGCTTGACTTGTTTTTTAAAAGCATATGGTACACTCCTAACAAATCTAATCTACTAGCTGCTAACAAATCCAATCCACTAAGGACAAAAAAAATTGCTTCCAAAACAAGTGTTCTGCATTGCTTAATGTAATTCGCTCTTCAACTGAGTCTTGCAGTAAAAGTTTTCTCTGATTTTAGCGGAAGAAATCATGAAGCTAAAATGAAACCAAAATATGAAGTGATATATCTTATTATTACAACTGATGTACCAAGGAGAACTGAGTTTTGCTGGACAATGAAAGACAAGTATATTCTCATGAAACCAAAGTTTTTTCAGATTAAAGATTATTATTTACTAGTTAAAAAAAATGAACTCTCACTTAAAAATAACCTTCCCTATTAAAATCTCTACTTATATACATTGAACAAGAATACTATAAACACTTTTGAAAACTGTCAAACTCATCCACTTAGCCCTGACCTGAATTAATTACCTTCAGAACAACATTTGGATGCAACTAGCATATAGGTAGACACGGAGAACAAAACTTAGGTGCTGGTATTTTCACCATTTGTTGTGCTACTAATATTCAAAGTTTACCCAAATCAAATTGAATAAGGAGCATTTCAGAACACAGTGGCATACCTATTATAAAACGCAGGGATAATTTTAGAACATTAACAGAATAAGAGATGATAAACGAATTTAGTATTATCATTCATTCAAAATAGCTGAACATCTATTTACTGAAGCATGTTTTAACAAATTACCCTTAGGTTTTATTTCAAAATTTCTTTAAAGCACTGACAGAGGGCTCACTGAAGCCTTTTTAAAGCTTATGAAATTTCTGAAACAAGGGCTTCATGCAAGGACTTTATCGTTGGTGAAAGCTTTTGAAAGGGGTTTATGGAATTTCTCTAACACAAATTAATTTTTGAAATTCATAAGGTGTTAGAGACAGTTTCTTAATTTATTCTTGGAAACACGTTTCTTAATTTATTTTTGGAAACACATCCTAATTTAATTAGGGGTTATGTTGCTTTGGGAACAAGACACTGCATCTCTATAAATACCACTCTCCTCTCTTGTAATCTGCATCCAGAAAATATTAATAACATTCCTGGCTTGGTAGCGCCCCCAGAAGTCCTCTGTGGCGAACTGGGTTACCAAATTTCGTGTGTTCTTTAATTGTTCTTCGTGTTTGTGAGTTAAATTCCTAACAACTGGTATCAAGAGCCCTAGGTTCGAAGGGAGAGTTCAACACGATGGCAGATTTGAAGACACCGTTGATGCAGTTTGATGGGACTGATTTCGGCTTCTGAAAGCTGCAGATCGAAGATTACCTGTACGGTAAAGATCTGTATCAACCTCTGGAGGATAAGCCGGAAGACATGAAGGAGAGCGATTGGAAGTTGCTGGACAGGAAAGCGATGAGCGTGGTGCGATTGTCGCTGTCCAGAAACATCGCCCTACATACCGTCAAAGCAAAAACGACGAAGGAGATGTTGCAAATATTAACGGATATGTATGAGAAACCTTCTGCTGCGAACAAGGTACATCTCATGAGGCGTCTTTTTAACCTTAAGATGTCAGAAACCACGGGAGTTGTGGAGCATCTCAACGAGTTCAATTTAATCACCACACAATTGAGCGCGGTTGAGATCAAGTTCGACGACGAAATTCATGCCCTAATTCTGCTGTCTTCTCTCCCGGAAAGCTGGAACGGAACGGTGACTGCAGTCAGCGCTTCGGCGGGGAAGGAGAAACTGAAATTCGATAAAGTCAGAAATCTGGTGGTCAGCGAAGAAATTCGCAGGAAGGAATCAAGATCGGCGTTGAGTACAGAGAACCAGGGCAGAACAAAGTCAATGTCAAAGTCAAATCGGGATAGATCAAGATCCAAATCCAAGTCAAACAGCAAGGGCAAGAAGGACAGAAGTCAGATCAAGTGCTGGAATTGTGAGGAGTACGGACACTTCAAGAGCCAATGCAAGGAGCAGATCAAGGATCAGAAGGAGAAGACATCTGCCAATGCAGCGGCAGAATCATCGGGTGATGATCTCCTGATTCTGAGTGTGAGCAGTCCGTTGGAGTCATAAGTTCTGGATTCTGGAGCCTCGTTCCATTCATGTGGTAACTCTGAAGTGATGGAACAGTATACTCCCGGCAATTTTGGAGAGGTGTATCTTGCTGATGATGAGCCTCTTAAAATTGTCGGGAAGGGTACAGTCCACGTGAAGACTCCGAACGGATGCATGCTGAAACTAAATGGTGTCCGACACATTCCTAGTTTGAGGAGGAATCTTCTTTCAATTGGACAGCTGGATGAGGAAGGTTATGCAGTTACATTCGGCAGCAGAAATTGGAAGATCACCAAGGGAGCCTTGCTGGTTGCTAAGGGGAAGAAGGAGGGTATGTTGTACTTGACAATGAACTCAAAGGATTGCATCGATGTTGTTGCCGCTGCAACAAACGATGTGAATTTGTGGCACTGTCGGCTCGGTCACATGAGCGAAAAGGGGATGAAGGAGCTGTGCTCGAAGGGCAAACTGCCCGGCCTGAAGACTGTTGAGGTTGGCTTATGCGAGGACTGCATATTCGGGAAACAGAAACGTGTCAGTTTCTCAAAGGGAAGACGAGCTATCAAACCGGAGAAGCTGGAACTAGTTCACACCGACCTTTGGGGACCTGCAGAAGTTACATCCTTGGGAGGATCCGCCTACTACATGACCTTTATTGATGATGCCACAAGAAAGGTGTGGGTTTATTTTCTCAAAAATAAATCTGATGCCTTTGATGCTTTCAGGAGGTGGAAAGCTCGTGTTGAGACAGAGTCAGGTCTGAAGTTGAAGTGCCTTCGGTCAGATAATGGGGGTGAGTATGAACTGCATGAGTTCAAGAATTTTTGTGCTGAGAATGGGGTTCGTATGGAGAAGAAAACTAAGGGGACTCCGCAGCATAATGGCGTTGCTGAACGCATGAACAGAACACTGAATGAGCGGGCCAGATGCATGAGGTTGAAGAGTGGCTTACCGAAGATGTTTTGGGCGGATGCAGTGAACACCGCGGCTTTTCTCATCAACAGAAGTCCAACAATCTCGTTGGAGAATGACATTCCTGAAGAAAGGTGGACGGGTAAAGAGGTAAATCTGTCCTATCTCCGCATATTTGGTTGTGTTGCTTATGTTCATATCAGTTCCGTTGACCGAAGCAAGTTAGACGCAAAATCTGTGAAGTGTACGTTCGTTGGATATGGTGGTGATGACTATGGATACAGTTTCTGGGATGAGCAGAATAGGAAGATTATTCGTAGTCGAGATGTGGTGTTCAACGAGCAGGTTCTGTACAAGGACAGATTGAGCGCATCTGATTCTGAGCAAGAAAGTCCGAAGATCATAGAGCTGGATATCTCTAATTCGGGTGGGAGCAAGCAGGATCAGAATGAAGAGATGAGCAGTGATGAGGATCCATCAACTCTGCCAAGGCAGCGGCCTGCTAGGAACCGAAGAGCACCAAATAGGTATTCACCTTCTAATTTCTATT